GGATGCTCCGGGGGTGGGGAGCGCTGATCTGCACAGTTCTGGGCCGCCCGGTGGCCGGAACATCCTCACTGTCCTGGGCCCTCCCGGGCTTCACCTGTCCCAAGGGGAGTGCAGGATCCTGGGCTGTGTCCCCCAGCGCCCGGGCTCCAGGGTCTGCAGTGCTGGAACCATGTTCCTGGGGCCGCGCAGCCCCCTCTGTGCAGAGCCACCACCTGAGCCACCGCCTGAGCTGCTCCCAAGGCCCCGCCGGGTGCATGCTCCAGTCCTTTACCACGCTCTGCCCACGGTGTGTGGCGTACTCTCCCCCGGGGCACAGTTCCTCTGTTAGTGACCCCGGGAACCTGGGGGCTCCTTTCACCTCCTGGGATCCTGCGAATGCCTTTCCATCCAGGAAGATTGGTAAAGTTCCTGGTTCTCTGGGACTGGGCTTTCCTGTCCTGGAGGCTCTTGCCGCCCAGCCTTAGCCGGACTCCTCGCGGGAGCCCCTCCCCCACTAGATTCTTTTTTATTTTCTTTATTTACTTTTTTCCCCATCTTTCTACCTTGTTAGAAACGCAAACTCTTCTCACTGTAGCATTCTAGCTGTTCTCTCTTTAAATCTCAGGCCGAATTCATAGGTTTTCACGATGATTTGAAAGCTATCTAGGTAAGTTGGTGGCGACAGGTGACATGGGGACCCTACTCTTCCGCCATCTTGCCTGCCCCTGTTGTTTGTGTGTGTGTGTGTGTGTGTGTGTGTGTGTTTTATTCATGAGAGACACACACACACAGAGGCAGAGACACAGGCAGAGGGAGAAGCAGGCTCCATGCAGGGAGCCTGACTTGGGACTCCATCCAGGGTCTCCAGGATCAGGCCCTGGGCCAAAGGCAGCACTAAACCGCTGAGCCACCCAGGCTGCCCTGGATCCAACTTTTTAAATCCTTTATTGTATATTCTTGTTTTCCTACAGTAAGCATGCATTACTTTGCTTTAGCAATGTTATGAACTGAATTATATCCCCTCAAATTGATGTTAAAGTCCTAACCATCAGTATCTCAGAGTGTGACTGTATTTGGGGATAAGACCTTTAAAAGAGGTGACTTGTTTAAAGTAAGACCTTTAGTGTGAGCCCTAATCCAATCTGAGTGATGTCCTTATAAGAAGAGATTAGGATGCACAAAGGGACACTGGGGATGCACCCCCCCCTCCCCCGAGGAAAGGCCATATGAGAATGAAGCAAGAAGGCCATCTGCAAAGGAGAGAAGCATTAGGAAAAACCAAGTCTACTGACACCTTGATCTTGGATTTCTAGCCTCCAGAGCTGTGAGAAAATACCCTAGTCTGTAGTATTTTGTTATGGGAGCTCTAGCAAACTAATAACATTTACCCAATCATTTCATTTTTGTTATTTTTATACTTATGAAATGAACACAAGTGCATATATATATGTATACATATATGTGTATATATTTTTTTAATTCAAGCATCACAGAAGGATATATAATTAGAAGTGAGTATCCTTACTTAGGGTCCTAGACTTGCTCTTTAGGAAAAGCTGACATCCACAGTTTCTTGTGTATCTTTCCCAAAACTTGTGAAGTTTCCCAAAACTTCAATTTGAATAAGCAAATAAATATATATGCTATATTTTTATGCAAAATGAGACTATCGTATCTTCACTAATCTGTGCCTTGTTTTTTTAAATTTTTTTTTAATTTTTATTTATTTATGATAGTCACACAGTGAGAGAGAGAGAGAGAGGCAGAGACACAGGCAGAGGGAGAAGCAGGCTCCATGCACCGGGAGCCTGACGTGGGATTCGATCCCGGGTCTCCAGGATCGCGCCCTGGGCCAAAGGCAAGCGCCAAACCGCTGCGCCACCCAGGGATCCCTGTGCCTTGTTTTTTTAACTTACCTGGAAGTCTTTCTATATCAGTAAATTCAGTTCTTGTTTAATGTTTTCCATTATAAGAATGTTAACAATTGATTTAACTAATCACACCAAAGAACATTTATATTGTTTTCACTTTCTGGCTTCACAAATAATATTGTAATAAGAATATTTGTACGTACATTTTGTATATGTGGATAAGAATTATGGAATAAATTGATAGAAATGAAAATGTTAAGTCAAAAGATAAATTTTTGTTGTTTTTTTTAAATTTTGGCTTCTTGACTTCTTATCTTGCAAAGATGTTTTAATTTAAACTCCCACCCTGAATAGACAAGTGCCAATTTCCATAGCTGCTCACACTGTGTGTTATCAAACTCTTGATTATTGTCAATCTGACAGGTGAAAAATGACATCTCACTATTTTAAACTGAATTTAATTAATTGTAAGTTTGGTTGAGATCTTTTAAAAAAAAGATTTTATTTATGTATTTGACAGGGAGAGAGCACAAATAAGCAGAGTGGCGAGGGAGAAGCAGGCTCTCCACTGAGCTGTGAGCCCACTGTGAGGCTTGATCCCAGGATTCTGGAATCATGACCAGTACCAAAGGCAGATGCTTAACTGACTGAGCCACCCAGGGACCTTTTTATATGTATAGGAAACAGCTGGATTTCTTCTTCTGGTGCCAATTTATATCCTCTGTCCATTTTACCATAGATTTTCTTTTTCTTGATTTATAAGCACCATGCCTTTCTTTTCATGTATGTATATACAGTTCTATGAGTTTTGACAGATGCTTAAAGTCATGGAATTACCATATAATCAAGCTATAGTATAGTTTTTTTTTACTGAAGAATCCCTTCATGATGTTCCTTTGTGATCAATTCCTCTACCAATTTCCAATCCCTGGCCACTACTGATCTGTTATTTATCATTATAGTGCCATATGAAGTATATAATATGTAATCTTTTGAGTCTGGCTTTTTTTCACTCAGCAAAATATATTTGGGATTATTTATCATTGTGCATATCAGTTGTCTATTCCTTATTATGTGGGAAACAAAGGCAGAAGAAAAATTATTAATGTTCCTTACTACTGAGAGTCTACTGACAAGTCTTTGAAACAGGTAGAGTGACATTCCTCTAGGGACTCAATTGCCTGATGTTGACACCTGCTAAGGATGAAAGGCAATCCTAGCTTGGCCTCCTGATCCTGTTAGCCTACTTCAACATATAAAACTTCCTTTAGAAATTTTCATTTATCACCAAGATAGCAATCATCCCCCAAGTATATGACACATCGATATACATCTGAAGGGTCTTCCCAACAATAGCTAGCTCCCCTCAAGATCCTGGAAATCTTATTTACAAAATTCCTTAGAGACTTACACTATCCCTAACCCCTTCCCAACTTGACAGTATATAATGGGCCATTCCTCATGACCCCATTGCAGCTCTTTCTGCCCATGGGTCCTGTCCCTGTCCTTTAATAAATCCAATGTTTTGCACCAAAGACATCTCAAGAATTTGCTTGGCCATAGGCTTCAAACCCTAACATCTTTCCTATATCATTTATCGTTGCTGAGTATTAGTCTGTTGTGTGGACGTATCATAGTTTGATGATCCACTCCCCACCTGAAGGACATTTAGGTCATTTCCAGTTTTTTATTATGAATTAAACTGTTGTAACGTTTGCATACAAATTTCTGTGGAACATAAGTTTCCATTTTTCTTGAGTCAATACCCAGGACTAAGATTGCTGGGTCATATGGTAAATGCCAAACTATTTTCCCAACTGACTATACCATTTTGCATTTCCATCACAATGTTACTCAGCTTTTGATTTGAGTTTTGTTGTAAGGGTTTTTAAAATTTTGTCAGGGTTTTTTGGGGGAAAAGAGGACTTTTTGTTTTCTTTTTGTTTGGGTCATTCTATAAGGTTAGTGTTACCTCATTGTAATTTTAATTTGCATTTTCCTAGTTATGTTAAGCATTACTTTTAGGTGTTTATTTGCCATCTATACAACTTCTTTTGTAAAATGTTCAAACTTTTTGACCATTATATTATTTTCTTATCATTTAGTTTGAACTTTATATATTCTAGAAACAAGTCCCTTAACAGATATGTCATTTGCAAATATATACTCCACTTATGGCTTGCCTTTTACTCTCTTTTACAGTGTATCACTTTGATAAAGACCCAAATTTTCTTTTTTCTACAAATCATGCTTTTTGTGTTGTCTCTAAGAAACTTTACCCTAACATAGGGTAAATAATGAAGATATTATTTTGTGGGTTTTTATTTTCTAGAAGTCTTGGTCTTACATTTTATATTTAGGTCCATGATCCATTTGGGGTTAATTTTGTATAAGATATGGGGTATGGATTAAAGTCCATTTTTTAAAAATATGAATGTATGATCCTCCAACACCATTTGTTTAAAAAAAATCCTTCCTCCATTGAGTTGCATTTGCCTCTCTCATCAACAATCAATTGACTATATTTGAGTACATTTATTTTTGGACTTTATTCTGTTCCATTGACTTGTTTGTCGTTTCCTTCACCAGTGCCATACTGTCTTGATTATGATAGCTTTATATTAAGTCACAGAATAAAATAATGTGAGTCTTCCAACTTTCTTCTTCAAAAGTGTCTTGCCTAGGGACATTTGGGTGGCTCAGCAGTTGAGCAGTTGAGCATCTGCCTTCCACTCAGGGAGTGATCCTGAGTCCAGGGATTGAGTTCCTATCAGGCTCCCCGAGGGGAGCCTGCTTCTGCCTCTGCCTATGTCTCTGTCTCTATGTGTCTCTCATGAATAAATAAATAAAATCTTTTTTAAAATGCCTTGCCACATAAAATTTAGAGTCAGCTTGTCAACATCTACCAAAAGGTTTTGCTGGGATTTTGTTTGACATTACCTTGAATCCACACATCAGTTTAGGAAGGAACACATTTGTAAAACTATATATTCATAGATGTTGCTCATTTATTGATTTTTTCTTCATTAATTTGTAAAAGCCATGTGTTTTTCTTAAAAATATTTGTTAGGGGGTGGGGAAAAACAACCTCAATTGGACCAGCAGATATGGAGACAAAAGCACTAACCATTTGTATTTTTCCCTCCTCAGGCTCAGGGAAGAATGGAAACAGAGACTGGAGAAAAGGATGCAGATGCTGGACAATCCAAACGATAAGAAAAAGCAGGCAAGCACAGTGGGCCAAGACCCTCCAGCTTCAACCACTTCATTTTTTTAAAAAATTATTTATTTATTTTTTCAGCTTCAGCCACTTCAAAGATAACAAGCCACCACAGGCACTCTTCTAGGAGAAAAATCTAACACCCAACCTATGTTGATTTACTAAGCAGAACACTCTCTATTTGCTTTCCCATTTGTAAGGGATTTATGTGTGAAATCTCCCCCAGTGCTAATGGGAGTTATTATCCAACTCAATCCCCTCTGCACAGGACAGAGTGACAGCCAATGTGAAAGGAAAGCTCAGGTTATCTAATATAAAAAGCTCTTAGAATTAACACTCCCCAAGTGTCAAAGATCCATGTAGTGTTATTTATTTCCACAATTTCTTTTCGTTTTTAAATCTGAATATTGTATCTAAGCTTACCAAAGGCAATGACCTAGGTGGGAATTTGGCTTCCCTAGATCTTCTGGAAAAACAGAGTCAATCTTTTCTTCCCATGTCTGCTTTTGGTGAATAAAATGCAAATACTTTAAAAAATAAAGCTATTATGATAAAAAGAATAATTTATTAACAATACATCTGAAAATGAACTGAACTAAGTTCATATGAATTTTTTCTCATAAACATCTTTAATTAGAAATATGAAAACAAGATAATGCTTAATAAACTTGTTTGTTGTGTCCTCAACTGGTATGTGCCCTGTGTTAACTCCTTCATCATGCCTGTCTTGGTTAGCTCTCTGGTACTAGAGCAAGTGTTAGCTCCAGCTACCGCCAGACACATTGTGGAATTTAGCCATCTTCAGTGTAGTCTCTTCTCAGTTCTTGAGCATGACCACAAGGCTGGGCAGGTTCTAAGAGTCATGGTAACTAGGGTTCTTCTGCCCACAGTTTCCTCTCTGGGGAACAAGAACAGAGAGGGAAGCCCTGAGCACAAAGGAATGCAGATAGCCAGAGAGACCCAGGGGAGATAACTGAGGCAGTTCTGGGAAAGGCATCCATCTCTCACTAACACCTAGTGGCAGCATAAACTGCTTCCCTTGGAAAACTAAAAGGGCTTCTCACAGCTAAGAGAAACATGAGGTAGCCAGAGGGTTGGAAAGGGGATTCCACATCCCCACAGTTATGAGATCCAGACCCCTGCTACAGGTTCTTATTCAATTTAGATACAACATATAAGCAGTAATCTACAGCTGGGAAAATCTGATCAAAGTTTGGGAAAAGAAGCTAGTAATAAAATACAATTTTAGTAAGGACAAAGAACCATGGAAATACAGATCAGGTTACCTAACAATATAAAGCAGTTGGGGAAAGTCCCTGCAAAACTGGTGTTTAAGCTGAGCCCTATAAAAATGAGAAAGAGTCCATCCAAGAAAAGAAAAGTCATTAAATATCCTAGACAGAGGGGAATAACACATGTGAAAAGTCAAAGAGGAGCGTGAGAACTGCAGAGCAGAGGGTGACTAAGGATCTACAAGGAAGTAAAAAACTGGGAAATGTGTGTCTGTGACACAGAGTGAAGAGGGAGCAGTTTTATAGGAGGGTAGAAAGGGGACAGGGGCCTCTAAAGCCCAGGCTAAAGATTCTGGATTGATCCACAGGAGAACAGAAAGCCACTGACACAGATTTTAAGGCAGAAGAATTAACTGATTAGACTTGCATTTTTAATTTTTGAAAATTTTGTGATACACATACACACAATATAATTTCATAAATCATTATATCATATATGTTGGCATGCTTTTATTACAGTTTTTATTAACCCTGTGCCCCATAACACATGTTAATAACCTGGTGTGAGTCCTCCTATATTTTCTCCATGTTCATATAGCAGTGTACAGACACACACATTCACACCCACACTTACACATTTATGCAAACATAAATATGCATGCATACTCACACACACTCTACATCTAAAGGGCTTTGTATGAATATGTTTGTGTGGTAATATTTTACAAAATAAGATCATATGACACTCTTCTACATCTTGCTTTCCTCACTCAAACTTTCTTCATATAAATGCTAGGCCAATCTAACTCTAATTCATGTTTTTAATGGGATCACAGTATACCCTGATGTGGTTGTTCCATAATAAAGCCAACAATTTTTTTAGAGATGGACAGTCACATAATTTTCAGGTTTTGGTCACTCAAACACTGGCAGCTTTCTTATTCAGAGTATTTATTTATTTATTTATTCATTCATTCATTCATTCATTCTATTGGTTCTGTACTAGAAAATAGATTCCCAAATATTGGAAATATGAACAAACAATAATGCAGTTCCTACTTTTTAAGTGCTACTAGAATGCTTTCCAGAAAGGCTGGTAAAATTCCCATTTGAACAAGCAGTTATTTTTTTTTTGTTTATTCTTTAAAGGTTTATTTATTTATTTATTTATTTATTTATTTATTTATTTATGAGAGACACAGAGAGAGAGAGAGAGAGAGAGGCAGAGACACAGGCAGAGGGAGAACCAGGGGCCATGCAGGGAACCCGACTTGGGACTGGATCCCAGGTCTCCAGGATCACACCCTGGGCTGAAGGTGGCGCTAAACCGCTGAGTCACCAGGGCTGCCCTTGAACAAGCAGTTAATAAAGAGTTCATCCCTTCTCCCCATGTCACTGCAGGAATAAGCACCATAGCATCATAGCTGTTCTTTTTTTTTTTTTTTTTCTAATCTAAGAGATGACATAACTTGGTTTCTTTGATTCTTAGTGATTGGGCTTTCTTTTCATGTGTTCGTTTATTAGCTTAATTTTCTTGTCTGTGAATTACTTAGTTAAACTGCGTGTTTTTCTAAGGTTTGACTTTTTATATCAATGTGTATAAACCATTTATACATTGCAAAACCTAATTCCTGCATTATCCTTTGCATTAGGAGTCTGGAGGGTAGGGAGGGCTTGCTTAAACACATAGTATTAATTCTGAAAACCTTAAAGCTATTGAGGAAAAAGTAGACATTTTTAAAATATGTAAATATGTAAACATAAAAAGCTTATATGTGGTGAAAGTTACCATAAGCAGTGGCTTTGGCAGTTTTGAAAACTTAAATGATCATTTGTTTGCAATTGGGACAATAGGAGAGGTGGCAGGAGGTGAATTAAGATGTTTCCAAAGTCTACATGGCAAAGAACAGGGTTGAGCAGATAGAGTGGATAGGTCATGCAGGTTGATCAAATATAGGGTAGCAAGGCATGGAGATTCTAAAAATATAAATGTTCATTTGTTTTATTTAAGATTTTATTTATTTATTTATTTATTTATTTATTTATTTATTTGAGATAGAGAGCACAGATGCACTAGTGAGGGAAGGGGCAAAGGAAAAGGGAGACACATACTCCCCGCTGAGCAGGGAGTCCAAGGTGGAGCTTGATCCCAGGACCCTGAGATCATGACCTGAGCAGAAGGCAGATGTGTAACCAACTGAGCTACCCAGGCATTCCTAAATGTTAATTTATTTCAACTGATGTTTAATTAACGTGGGTTAAGTAAAAAGAATATGAGCCTAAAGAGACATCAAAGCTGGATCTGTTACTGCTGGGAACTCAGAACAGGGCCAGATTCCCCGAGCTATGGTTTCCTCATTTATAGTAATGGGCATACCATCCTCTGTTTCTCAAGGTGGTTGGGATTAAATGAGCAGATGTGAAAGCCAATAGACCAGGACCTGGTACAAAGGAAGACCTCATGTGTCACAACTCTCTGCCTCATCCCATCCCTTGCTTTCACTGGACTGGGCTCACAGAAAATGAATGACTTGTATGGGGCAGTAGTCACTAAGTCTGCCTGCTGGTCAGAATCACCCAGAAAACTTTTTTAAATTTATGGATCCCTAGACTTCACTCCCAGAGATTCGAATTCTATTGGTTTGGTTTGGGGTTCAGGAATTTTTGTATTTTAATCATGCTTCTCAAGAGATCCTGATACTTAGGTAGATTTGGGAACAGCTTTCCTAAAGGACACAGGTTCTAGTGGAAAAGACAAAACTGAGCCAGTCACCAGGCTGTACATTAAATTTCCAGAACTTAGTCATCCTGCACAACTGAAATTTTACACTTTTTGACGAATATCTCACTATTTCACCCACCTCGCAGCCTCTGGCTACCACTGTAGTTAATAACACTGTTTCGTATACTTGGAATTTGCTAAGAGAGTATAAACTTTAAATGTTAACACAGATACACGTGGTTTATGTGAGGTGATGGAAATGTTAATTACTGTGACTGTAGTAACCATTTCACAAAATATGTATGTATCAAAACATCACATTGTACTTTAAATATATGTAATTTTTATTGGTCAATTATACTTTGGTAAAGGGAGGGAAACTGAGTCAGGGTGGTAAGGCCATAAGAAAAGTATGTGAGGTGCTATAAATGGTCCCACCTCAGGGAGGTGTAAAGGTCTCACAGAAGGGGTGAGATCAGGCCTTGAAGAAGGAATCAACTGTAGCGTCAGCAGGAGGAGTGGAGGGAGGGAAAGGAGAGGTAGGCTGAGGTTAAATGGGAGGCTCTTGAAATGTTAGCTAAGGAGTTTGGACTTCAGCACAAAGGCAATGGAGACTCATCAAACGTTTTAAGCAGGGCAGTAACTTGCTAAGAACTTGTCTTAGTAACTGAGTAAAACAACCCTGGCAGCCATGTGGAGAATGCACTCTACAGATATTAGGGATTGTCTTTGTTAAAACTGTGATTATCCAAACAGCCTGATTTGGAAAATATACCAATGTGATCTTCCACTCGGTCCAAGGTGAGTGGAAGTACAAATAACAGTGTGGTCGAAGTGATGAAAAACACAACAAATCTGTCTTATGTCCTGTCTCAAGGTCAACACCTTTAAAATTCCAGCCTTTTATTTTAAAATTATTTAGCACTTTTCCTTTAACAAATTTGCCTGAGATATAGACTGAAAAATAACAAAATCTTGAATTGCACCAATTTAGAGGTGAGTTCAGCGGCTCAGAAGGCTTTACTGAATTGAAACCACAGCTTTATTTATGTCTGGCAATGAGCAGCAATAAAAGTTCCTTTTGTCTATCGGGCAAATGATTC